CCCGTCGACAGCCGCTGCCTTGTCGGCCAGCCAAGCCTCAGGCACTCACCCGAATGCCATGTGCCAGCCGGCATCACTATTTCTACTGCTGCTGTGAAAGCCACTGCATGAATTGCCTGCTGGGCAGCCCCGATGATGGGGTTGCTCAAGCCCGGCTGTCATATTTCTCGTTGGAATGGCCTGAGTACGTCGCCGTCCTGTGCTACCCGTCAACTGACCTCGACTATCCCATTGTCGGAGGGCCCAGACAAGCCTCGCTCTCCTGGCCTCTGGCCCTCTCTGGCACTCACCTAGCACCCTTCTAAGTTCTGCCGCGGCGCAAATGTGCGCCACACACAACTTCAACCCCAGTTTGTGCCCCGTAATACTCGGCCCCCCCTCCCCCGCGATGCCCTCCATTCACATCGCTTCATCGTCGCTGCTTCAACATGAGGAGGGAGGTGGGAGGAGCAAGAGCCGGCCGGCTGACATCTCCACCCCTCCCCTCCTCTCCCCCGGCCGTTCGACCTGGTCTGCCTTACCTGACAACCCAGCTGGGGCGGTGGAAAGCAGTTGGGTGTGGGGAAGAAGGAAGGAAGGGCGGGGGGGGGGGACCGGGTCCCATTGCCACGAGACTGTCGACCATTGTCGTGGGCCCCTTCGACCCAACTCCCGGGGCACATTCTCCATCCAACATACGTATGCTCACCCTCCTCCCCCTGCCTTCCAGAAGGCTTCTCCGCGCCGCTGAGGAGACAAAGACGAGATGAGACGAGACGAGACTCCACGTGGGCGAAGCAGCCGCACGCCCCCACCCTTCCCGGCAACGGTGGATTTGGGGGCCCTCGGGGACAACAATAGTTGTCCAAGACGACGAGTCCAGGCCTCTGTGGTGATGAGAGATGACCTGCCAAGGTTTTCTGGATGCCTCGGGGATTGAAACCGGGCCCTGATCTTGCTTCCTTCCGACTGCGGCTTACGGTCTTCCTTTGAGTTTCAGACCCCCGGATTGGCGGCCAATCATTCCACGGCACTGCTATGGCCAGCTGTCTTCGTCACGAGCCGTCACATTGTCCTGGACACTCCTGGTTTGCAGCCCATCTCGACACGCCCCCCAGGGCTCTGGTCTTTTTCAATCAAAACACCGAGGGGCCAAGGCCATGCCTGGCCATCTCCAACGACGGACGCAAGTTCACATGGTGCCCCCACTGGGGGCGCAATCAACGCCGCATCTGAGCATCACCTCACTGCTACTCCATCCCATCGATAACCGCGCTGAGCCGAAGGTGCTCACCCCCAAAGCCCTGTGTTCGCCTTGCCGTTGGTGGGGGCTTGCCAGTCCCAGCATTGCCGTTGTTGCCTGACCGGGCCAACAAGCCCCAGATCGACCGTGGGCGGCATCTAAAAAAAGAAGAACATGAGGGGACCGAAACGGGGTGAATCCTTGCATCTGACCATCTACAATCATCTCAGAATCCCAGAGTCCCCAGAAACTTCGAAACGCCAGAACCTTCTCTGCGGAAACAGCTTGGGGGCCGTGGTGTCTCATTGTCTCTTGCCCCACGAGGGTAAGACGAGAGAGCATGTCGCTGGAATGTCACTGCCCAGGCCCCGAGGGCGCATCAAGGATTGTTCGGACAAGACCCGTTGTCGTTTCGTCCGAACTATGCCTCGCCTCGAGTGAATGTCGTCGACGGCAAGGATCCAGCACGTCACCGGATGACTAGTGTGGCACGGTACCAAGGAGCCGACGACCAATCGCCAGGCGTAGCGAGTCTAGTTTCCTGACTATGGAACTAGCAGGCAGATAGCTTGCCGTATAGCTTGGAGACATGGCACGCCAAGCCTGAATCTCGCTCGCTTCCCACGGCGTGTCGATTTGGTCCGACGCCCCCCCTGCTGGCCTCTCCCGGGGGGCGTAAAAAGCAATCAAGACATGCGAGCCAGACTCAGCCACCCGCGCGCGATGGTTGAGAAAAGTACCGAAATCATCGATTGTGATTTGCAAGGGCCAGGGCGTCAGCCACGGATGCTCGGGAAGCAGCAATCATCAGTAGCCTCCCGGAAACGACTAGGTGCGTGGTGAGCGTCTCGGGGGTGGCGGGCTCTCAGGCGCACTTCCAATTTTCCATGCTCCTATTCCGCCGCGCCTGGTGTCATACACAGGACTTCTATCTACATACGTGCATCGGAGTACAGTACATTCAGCTCTCGAACCAGGGGCGGCACGACAAAAAGGCCTGTCATCGAAGTCCCATCCAGGGGTGGCAAGGGCAGGGCAGGGCAGAACAGGGGCGCGCCCGCAGGACACGGCACACGGTCGGCAGCTGAAATCGGTCTCGACTTGCGGCCTGCAGGCGTGGCTTTTCGTGTCTCAAAACGGACGAAGAGAGCCAAATTGGACGAGGTGCAAATGGCGGAGAGGCGGAGGTGAAGCACTGAAGAGGAAGAATAAAGTAAAGGATGCACCGACGCGCTCCGTCGGACGCGGACCGGCGAAGCGGGCTCGGAGGGCCGAGACGTCGGGGATTGCCTATTTGGGCCATGACCGCGCCGTATTAGCTAATGAGTGAGACATGCGCACGCTGCGATGCGAATTTGGATTAGGTAAGCACGAGCACTTCGGCTTCCAAGTTTTCGAACTTCCATGTCAACTATCAGCAGACGGCCACGGCGATGGCGCCGGCAAGGCACAACTTTGGCTCTCGACCCGGACTCGGTTCCGTTGCGACGCGTCTCTCTATCTGGCCCTCGGCTAGCCCCGGCGTGATGCGACCCCCCCCCCCCCCACCCCCTTCCACCAGGCCCGTCGATCCGGGCGGTCTCGGCTGGTTGCACACACTGATCACGCGGAATTGGAAATTCCCCGTCGGGCAATCAACGTCTCCGCCCGTCCCTCGCTGTCAGCATCATCCTGCCCTGGGGCCATTTCTCGACGTTGCACAGGGGCATGCCCCCTCCTTATCGGCGTCGTCATCGGTCAAGTAGCCTTCTCCCGAAAACTACTGTAAGCCGTCGGCGGCAGTGCAGCCGGGAGGAGGGGGGTCAGCGTCGTTTTTCGGATCTCGCTCGCGTGAGAGGTGCGTGTGGGTGTGTTTCTGAGTGTGTGCATACATATATGCACCGTGCTTTCTATACATATCTTGGCGTCCTGTACTGGAGCCAGCTCTCCCGGTCACAATTCATGGGCGAGGCAGCCCTCGTGCTGCCGCTGTAAGCCACAGTCTGGGGAGGGGGGGCTGTCAGATTAGATCGGGTACCGACGCGTAGCAAGGCCGAGGCAGGAGGGCGAGATACGAGTGGACGCCTGCATGTCGAGTACCAGCCAGTACTTGATTCGCTTCTGACCATTCAAGTCCAAGTCGCACAGAATTTCAGCCCTACTCCGCAGGGCCAGGACTAGCACCGCACACGCGTCGCACAGTGCCCAATAACTTGGAGCCAAGATGAAAGGCGTATTCCCCGTGACTCTTTAATGTTCACTCGTACCTAGTCCGTTTCCTTTTTCTGACTCTAGTTCTTTGGTTCAGTGATTGCGGCACAGCAAGCCATGTCGAAAATGGGTATGAATAGTAGCATCATCGGACCGAAACTCGCGAGACTCGCGTGCAGCCGCCGGGGATGATGGAGGGGCCAAGCAGGTTAATGTGAGATGGAAGAGATACATCACACGCATTATCCAATTCTTTGATGGGTCAGGGGGGCTAAGAATTGCTCGCCGCCGGCTTTCAGGTTCTGGAGCGTCAGCGTGGCGCTTCTTTCTCTTTGCGCCAGCGTTGTCCTGGCCCCCGGCAGGGCGTCACGGCTCTCATAGATGGGCCGCTCAAGGTATGATAGCGTGAATCGGAGAGCTACCCTGGGATGTTGAGTAGACGGACGGTGAGGGTGGTCCTGCCAGTCTCATCTGGGATGTCGGCCGGTGGGGGGTATGAAATTGATGAAAGGATCGACCGCACATGAGGCTACATGGAAATGGGAATCAGGGAGAACGATCGTGGATCGGAAATACATGCCTAACCATGATGTTTTCCCTTGACCACCTCAACCACATGTAGCCTGGAACATGAATGAAAGCTCAAGCGAGAGACGGATCATCACCCGGCAATGGCCAAGCAGGTGGCGACTTGGATGCGTTCGAAATAGCAAAAGTAGTGATAGACCGCATACTTGAACCCTTGGTGACTGCCCTAGAGGCAAATCAGTGTAGCTAGCCTTAATGGTGAACAAAAGGCCCAAGTCAAAGGCAGGCATGTACCATGTACGCAGAACGGAGGAAGGGGCCGGCCCGTGGACGAAAAGACGGAAGAACGGCGCCGGGCCGGCCTCGGTTGCGCGTGGGATCCGCGCCGGCAATCCGCGTCTCCACCCCGCCGAAACCAACAGATGTCGGGGGCGGCGCACCAGCCTCGGGGGCGACGCGGGGCACAGGCGGGGCCGTTTTGAGCGGCGGCGGACGGCACCAGCCACGCACAGCCACGCCACGCTTGCGGCAACGGCCAGAAAAGCCGCCAGCGTGGCGCTGCCGGTGAACAGACGCTAATTCCGCAATCTGGCGACAAAACGACGACCGCCCTTGGACGACCGCCCGTCCTTGTCTCTCTGCCGCCTGGCCCCCCTTTCTCGTCCATCTCCCCCCTTTCCGCCAGCTGTCTGTCGTCGAGGTGGGCAAATGGAGGGCTTCTCGACTGTGCCGCTGCGTGAGAACCGGTAGCTTCCATCCTCCCGCCCTCTCTTCCTCGCTCTCCGTCGCCGCCCTTCCGTCTCTTCCTTTCTTTTCCTCTGGCCTTTGTGGCCCCCGACGCATGCGAGCGCGCAACCAGCTCTCGTCCCGTGCCGGCGCAATCACAAATCACATGGGCGACACGCAAACGGGAGCTGCCGCCGCATCCTTATGAGGAGGCTCCAGGCAGCGCACCATGGGCTGGGCTTCTCTGCTGCCGCCGCCATGTGCGCCGCCTCGGCTGCTGCCTCTGGCGCTACTGCTGCTGGCCCTAGCGGTGCAGCCATGGTCTGCGGCTGCCATGCGCGCCGACCGCCTGGCCCAGCTGCGCCAGGAAACCGTCGACATGTTCTACCATGGCTACAGCAATTATATGCAGCATGCCTTTCCCGAAGACGAGGCAAGCAGCTTGATCCCCCCCCCTTCCCATGTTTCTCTCACGAGGGCGACCGTGGTTACTAACGAAAATGTGTCCTTTTCAGCTACGGCCGCTCTCTTGCGCGCCCTTGACGCGAGACCGCGACGACCCGACGCGCATCGGCCTCAACGACGCCCTGGGCAACTACTCGCTCACCCTCATCGATAGCCTGTCGACGCTGGCCATCCTCGCTGGCGGGCCACGCGACGGCTCCTACACAGGCCCGCAGGCCCTCGCCGACTTCCAAGACGGCATTGCCCAGTTTGTCCTCCACTACGGCGACGGCCGGACGGGCACCCCGGGGGGCACGGGGATTCGCGCGGCGGGTTTCGACCTCGATAGCAAGGTGCAGGTTTTCGAGACGGTCATACGCGGCGTGGGAGGGCTGCTGAGTGCCCACCTGTTCGCCATTGGCGAGCTGCCAATCCCCGGATACGTTCCGAGACTGGTCGAGGGCTCTTCCGGCGGCGACGACGGCCCCCTCGAATTGGCCCCCATTCTCTGGCCCGGCGGCTTCAAGTACGACGGCCAGCTCCTGCGACTGGCTCTCGACCTCGCCCAGCGCCTCCTGCCCGCCTTCTACACCACCACCGGGATACCGTATCCCCGCGTCAACCTCCGCTCCGGCATCCCCTTTTACGTCAACTCGCCGCTGCACCAGGCGTCGGCCGACGAGGCCACCCGGGAGTCCGCGGGAGGGCGCAGAGAAATCACCGAGACGTGCAGCGCCGGGGCCGGCAGCCTGACGCTCGAGTTAACCGTCCTCAGCCGCCTGACGGGGGACGCGCGCTTCGAGCAGGCGGCCAAGCGCGCCTTTTGGGAGGTCTGGCGCCGGCGGAGCGATATTGGCTTGATTGGAAACGGCATCGACGCCGAACACGGCATGTGGATCGGGCCGCATGCCGGCATTGGCGCCGGCATGGACAGCTTCTTTGAGTATGCGCTCAAGAGCCACATCCTCCTCTCGGGCCACGAGACGCCGGCCCCCAACGCGTCCGCCACTCGCCGAGGTTCCTCCTCCGCATCAACCTCCGCCGGAGACAACCACTGGCTTGACCCGGGCTCCCTCCACGGCCCGCTGCCGCCCGAGATGCATTCGTCCGACGCCTTCCTCGAGGCCTGGCACGAGGCGCACGCGTCGGTCAAGCGCCACCTCTACACGGACCGGAGCCACTTCCCCTACTACGCCAACAGCCACCGCGCCACGGGCCAGCCCTACACCATGTGGATCGACAGCCTGGGAGCCTTCTACCCGGGCCTGCTGGCGCTGGCGGGCGAGGTGGACGAGGCCATCGAGGCCAACCTCGTCTACACGGCCCTCTGGACCCGCTACTCGGCGCTGCCGGAGCGCTGGTCGATCCGCGAGAACAACGTCGAGGCCGGCATCGCCTGGTGGCCCGGCCGGCCCGAGTTCATCGAGTCCACCTACCACATCTTCCGTGCCACCCGCGACCCCTGGTACCTGCACGTCGGCGAGATGGTGCTCCGCGACATCGGCCGGCGCTGCCACGCCCCCTGCGGCTGGGCCGGCCTGCAGGACGTGCGCACGGGCGAGAAGCAGGACCGCATGGAGAGCTTCTTCCTCGGCGAGACGACAAAGTACATGTACCTGCTCTTCGACCCGCACCACCCGTTCAACAGCCTCGACGCCGCCTACGTCTTCACCACCGAGGGCCACCCCCTGATCCTGCCGCGGCAGAAGCAGTCGACGCCGCCCACGACCCGGCGCCAACGGAAGCGACGGTCGTCGCCTTCATCGTCGTCGTCATCTTCGTCGTCGCCGCGCCAGGGCGGCAGGCACGTCTCCGTCTACAAGCAGCACGACGACGGCGACGGGGCCGGCGGCAACGGCGGCGAGGGTTTCACCAACACGTGCCCCGCGCCCCCCCGGCCGCCGGCCGACTCGCTGGCCGGATCGGCGACGGCGGCGCGGCCGCAGCTATTTGGCGCCTCGCGCTTCACCGACCTCTTCAACACGCCCAACGTCCACGGCCCCATCGAGGCCTTCGAGGCCGACGGCGGCGAGCCCGGCGCGCCCCCCGTGACGCGCTACCGCGCCACGTCCAACCACTCCCTCTTCCCTTGGACCCTGCCGCCCAGCATGCTGCCGGCCCGCGGCACGTGCGCCGCGCCGCCCACGCGCGTCGTCTCGGCCATCGAGTTCCCCGCCCGCGACGCCGCCGCCGCCGCCGCCGCCCTGGCCGCGGGCCTTGGCGGCATCGCCTCGGGTGCGCTCGTGTGGCACCCCCGTGCCGGGCCCGTGGTCCAGGTCCTCGAGGGCCTCCGCCTCCAGCTCGAGAGGGAGGAGCTCGTCGGCGCCGGCGCCGTCGCGTGGAGAATCACGCACATCGGCGCCATGCAGCTGGGTCGCCGCGAGACCGTCTTTTTCCACGCAGAGCACGTCCGCCACTTTCGGGACGAGGCCTTCACCTGCCTCCGGCGCCGGGACGCCATCGAAGTGGAGCTGCTCGTCGACGTGCGCTCCGGCGAGGGCAACGCGACGACGACGGCGCCGCTGCCCGACGGCACCGTTCTTGTCTCGGACCCATCTCCCTCGTGTCCCCCCCCTCCCTCCTTGTCCAATGACAACGACGACGAAGACGAGGCCGTCGCGTCCATGCCCTCAGAGTCGCTGCTCAAACACCTCCTCCGCGCCGTCTCCTCCGTCTTCGACCCCTCGCAGACAGACCTCCCCGCCACCGACAAGTCAGCCCCGCGCGGCGCCACCGGCACCGGCACCGGCGCCTCCATCCTCTCCTTTTACGCCCACGCGCCCGTCGGCCCCGGCGCCGCGCCCCTCCCCCACCCGGGCGACACCCCTGTCGACGGCTCCCCCTCGTTCGACGCCCGCCGCCCCGCCGCCAACTTCCCCTGGTCCACCGTCTTCCTCGGCGGCCGCGCCTGCGCCGCGCCCCTCCCCGACGCCGCGCCCCGCGACCACCAGCTCATCGTCCTCCGCCGCGGTGGCTGCTCCTTTGCCCAGAAGCTCGCCAACGTCCCTGCCTTTACTCCGAGCGCAGACGCCCTTCAGCTCGTCGTCGTTGTCGACGACGAGGCTGACTCCGCCGCCGCCGCCGCCGCCGACGACGACGACGAACAAGACGCCGTCTCGTCGCGCCTCGACCCCACTGCCCTCGACAGGCCCCTGTTGGCTGCCGAGCAGCTCGCGCCCGACGGCTCCAAGAGGCTCAATGGCGTGCCCATGGTGCTCGTCCGCGGCCATGAAGGCGACTACGAGCGCTTCGGCCGTGCCGTCGCCGCCGGCATGCGCAACAAGTACCGCCTCGAGAGCCAGGGGCTCTTGATTGTCAATGCCGTCGTCATATAGAGAGCGGGTGTCTTGTCCGGCGGCATTCTGATTTTCAAGCAACCAAGCTCGAGTATACCATTCTTCTTGCTGCGACGTGACAAGTTGCAGTCTGAGCCTACGTATTCTGTGGCAGCACGCGAGGCTAGGATTGTTCCGCATCACCCGGGCAGAAGCATGCTCAGGGCATGTAGTCATTCCATGTTCGAGGTATAGCGACCGTGACACTGGGTGCACGGCGTCCATGTTCCTGATTTCAGCTATGCACACTTATTTCGGCGGGTGCAACAGCGTCGCCCGTGGGCGGGTTATTTATCGAAAAAATACGGCATGTAGCCGCCGCCCGTCAAGTATCCATTTTCTCTACATACCAAACGGAAGAAAAAGAAAGAGACCAAAACGTGCTTTCATATCCCTTGCACAAAATGAGGACACAGGTAACCAGCTGCCGAGAGGGGGGAATGGTCTATTGGTGGCGACGAGCAGAAGACGTGAGCCGCAACTTTGTTCTTGATCAAAAACTTTTCAGGCAGATTCCCAAGACGCCAACGAATACAGTCAAAGGGGGGTGTAGTAGAATGCTGTTGTTCAGGATGCGGCAGTGATTAGGTTCCGGGCGGAAGCCAAAGAGTCATTATGAAAGCCGTGCGTGTCGTAGTCGTGGCGCAGAAGACGGCGGGTAGAAGACGAGAACAAAGTTGGCGCAGGGAGAAGATTAGTTTTGACGGGGCGGGTAAGGCCAACATCAGTCGTCGTCAAGGAGGATGGTGGCGGGAGCTCCGTCCAGCTGCCGGCGGCCGTTGAGACCGGGGACCTCGAGGAGGAAGAGGTAGCCAATGACCTGGCCCTTGAGCTGGGAGACGAGATCGGCCGCAGCCTTTGCCGAGCCACCTGTTGGGGGGGGGGAGGGGGAGGTGAGTCTGACGGATCATTGCAAACGAGGGAGACAGGGACAAGCATACCTGTGGCAATGATGTCGTCGACAATGAGCACCTTTTGGCCCTCGCGGACGGCGTCTTGCTGCATCTGGAAGTGGTCGCTGCCGTACTCCTTGACGTACTCGGCCGTGACACAGGGGCCGGGAAGCTTGCCCTTCTTGCGGACCGTGGCGAAGCCAACACCGAGGCGCAAGGCGAGGCCGGGCCCGAAGAGAAAGCCGCGGGCGTCGAGGCCGACAATGACGTCTGGCTTTGCGTGGGCGTAGGACCGGTCAATCTGCCACTCGAGGGCCGAGACGAGGGTAGAGTGGGCATGAGGGTTGGCGAAGAGGGGCATGATGTCGACAAAATCGATGCCGGGAATGGGGAAGTCGGGGAAGTTGCGCAGCGTGTTGCGCAGCGTCATCTTTGCACTGGCGAGTTGGGCGGCGGTGGAGGCGGCGGCGGCGGGCTGCTGTCGCGAGGCATCTTGAGCGGCTGCTGAGGATGAAGGGTGTTGCTGCTGTTGATGCGGTGGGGAGACGGTCATTGTGAAGAAGAAAAGGAAGAGGGGAAGGAGGAGGAGAGGAGGAGGGGCGAGGAAGGAGGGGGGGCGGGGGGAAAAGGAGGAAAAGAGAGAGGCAGATCGGAATCGGGACAAGGAGAGAAACCGAGAACGAGAGAATGAAAAGAGACGAGGAGGAGATGGTGGTGGTAATGCGTGCGTGCGTGTGTGTGTGCGTGCGTGTGTGAGAGAGGAGAAGTCGGCGAGAGAATACGAATAGCATGTGTGGGCGATTTTTTTTTCTCTCGTTGGCTTCGGCGGCCGAGAATATACCTTGAGGGACTGGACGCCTCGGTAGCGCCTCGCACCGCTACGGAGCCTGCAGCCGTACGTAGAGGAGAGAGGAGGAGGTACCGGCGGGTCTTGCAGGCAGCAGCAGGAGCAGCAGGACCCGCCGGCGGTAGCAACGGGGCAGGCCCGGACGAGGAAGGAGTGGTCGTCGTCACCAAGAGGGCAGGCAGCTGCAGCTCGCAGCAAGCACGGCGGGGAAGGCGCTGCCTGCTGCTGCTGCTTTGGAGGCAGACGAGTCAAGGCAGGTATGTACGAGGGCGAGCAAGTATATCCGTACATGTACGCACACACACGCAATAGTAGCCAAGGTATTTTCACACACAACCGGATGCATAAAAGCATCATTTTCCGAACAGCCAGAGTGAAAAGGGACTTCTGCTAACTTATACAAGACCCGTCTCTTCCCTGCACTGCCCGCCGGCGGTGACTCAGTGGACAATCCCATTGTATCCACAGTGCATGCCTTGTTATAGCGCCGAGCAACAAGGTCGGTGTGGCATTTCGCGCACCTGCAGCGTTTCCATGTTTCCCCCCCCCCCCCTTTCGTGTCGTACGTGCACACAGCGGCCTTGGTTATAATTCGTACTTGCTGCGTACTTGGTATATAGTCCGTGTACATACATACATACTACACCTGGCCCCATCCTGACTCGTGCTGCCTTTGCCCGGTGGTCCTCCAACCTCCTGTACAGTACAGATTGCGTGTGCCTCGTGGTCCACCGTCTAATTACCTACACTTCCAGATACACGCATGTGCCCGAGTCTGGCCATGTACATAATTATTACATGCTCCGAGCTCGCACTCTGGGCCGCTGCCTGACGGCCAGAAGAAGCAAGCACGGCAGAGCCGGCGCCGTCCATCTGCCGCCGGGACGGAACTCGTCGTCGAATCACGGCCGCGGTCAACACCACACACCCCCCAAACCGCCTCTCTATCGGACGCTAGCTCTTGCTCCCCCGTTTTTTCTCGTCGTCGAAACAGGTAATGCTCTTATGTACCATGATATCAAGTACGTGCCTAGTCAGGATATCTTGGTCAAAGATAGCCCAGCGCTCCTGTGCGTGGCCGGCGGCCGATTCGCGATAGGCAGCATCAACTGCTTCGTATCTGATGTTCTTCGTACGTGCGTTACCTCCGATGCCACCGTTCTTCGTCCAAAGAAACACCAACTGGCGGTAAGCAAAGCCACCCTCATCCGTCGTCACCCCGCCCATCCATCATCGATGCCGCCTTGCCCGGGCTACCACCACCCATCGCCCCGTCCACTGCCACGGATTGCATCCAGCGAAACCATTTCTTGCCAAACGGGGCGCAAGGGAGGGGTCGAGGCGGCATGAACGGGACGGCCGCCTCGCCCCATCCGATGAGGCGGATCATATCAAGCCTCGCTGGGGGCATGGCCATCAAGGACAGCGACTGAGCGCTCTACACGCTGCAGACTGCATGCATTCCGGGCAGGGCAACGAATATGACGGGGACAAGAGACATCCAACAAGGGAACCAAGGCTTTCGCTCGCCGAGCCAAGCCCCAGGGACAGCCGCCGTCTCATTCACATTGCCTCCTCGTGCCTGCAGCCTATACGCGTGCATTCTCGATGCCCTCTCTCTCTCTGCATGAATCCACCGCCCTTTGCTACAGCCCAGCGCGGCCCCGGCCACGGCTCCCGACGAGCGGCCATGCTCCCACCCCTGCCATCCAACAAACGCCTCGCCAACGTCCTCTTCGCTTGTCCCACCTCCCGCGCGTCCCAGCTCCTCACCGGCCGCGGTCCGGCGAACCCCCAAATCCCCGGATCGCGGGACGGTGCCGAAAGCCCCAACAAGCGCCGCTTGCTTCCCCGGTCGGTCCACCCAGCCACGCAGCAGCACTCATGCATGCGGCACCCGTCATCAAACCGTTTAATGCGCCCTGTCCTATCCATTCACCCTGCAAAAGAAACAGAGAGACAAAAGCCAAGTCTATTGTAGCAGGGGTTCCTCCGACTTTGAGAAGCACAAGGTATCATCCAATGCAAAGTACACGCTTCCGGCCCCCTTGCCCCAGAACAAAATGCGCGAACGGGTATCGGTCTATGCATACCGCAGCAAGTCCATGCTGCAGAAGAAAAAAAAGAAGAGACGCGAGGGAAGAGTGCAAGACAAGACAGGGAAAGGCAAGGCAAGGAAAGAAAACAAGCCACCATCCATGCCATGCTGCATAAAAAGAATACCCAACCGGATCTCTCCTGGGTCGTTTGTCTCATCAAGGCCGTTTGTTACCCGCGCCCATGAGGCGAAAGATTCTGCGGCGAATTGTCGTCATGCGCACTCCTCGCGAAATGGCGGCTTCGTCATGCTCACTCGTAAAACTGCAGTCGTATAATGGAAAAAATCATATTCTGCAGCACATGCAGCGTCACCGTCACGCTCGTCGGCAGCAGCTCCGGCCACACGGCCAGGTCCAGCTTGCCCTCGAGTCCGACGTCGACGCCGAAGCAGAGGCGGATGAGGCCGCGCACCGCCAAGCTGGCCACGAGCTCGCACGCCCACGTCACCGACGAGGCCAAAAACGTCAGCCGAAAGTCGTACGGCTCGTCGGCGTCGTCAAAGGCAAAGTACGGGTACACGTCCTTGTTGGCGCCAAAGTGCAGCACCGCGATGCTGCCCAGAAAGGCTGCCATGGACGCGTTCTCGGCCAGGAACCGGATGAAGACATTGCGCGTCTGCAGCTTCTGGTACGAGCCGTAGCTCTGCCCGTTAAGCCCCAGCAGCGTCAGCGCTCGGTGAAAGGCCCGCGTCATCATCAGCGGCGTCATCACAACCAGCCCCGTCGACGACAGCACCTGGAGGATGATGAACTGCGACGGCGAACGCAGCCGTGCATACAGCGCCCGCACGTACATCTGGTACGTCAACATGAAGTACCTGTGAGAGAGGGCCGAGACGCTCGTTAGCCCTTGTGGTCCCCGTCCATCGCCGTTAGGGGGAGGCTTCTAAGCAGGGGCAGGGATCGTACAGCTTGAAGACCCAGCTCAGGGGATAACTCCCGACTCGCTCGCCCTCGCGGATGCCCAGCACCCAGCCCGTCAGGGCGTCGAGCAGATGCACCGTCACCACCCAGCCGTAGACGTACACGACCGTCTCCAGACTGTTGTGCGGCAGCGTGCGCAGGTACATTTCGGCATAGGCCTCGCCGATGACATACGCCATCAGGCCCACCGACAGCGCCACGCAGAACCACAGGAAGCGAACAAAGCTTGCCGGCAGCCACCTGCGCCTCCCCTGCGGCCGCGCCGGCAGCGGTGCGTGCATCCGCGGCTCCAGGCTGTTGTCGCCGTTGTAGCGCCGCCTCCGGTAGTCTCGCCCAGGGGCTGCGTCGGGCTCGCCGGTCCACCACGACGAGGTGAAGATGCGCTGCGTCTCCGACAGCGAGTGGCGCAGGCTCATGTGTCGCTCATTCGTCAGCAGGATCATGAAGGCAATGGCGACGGGCATGGCCATGGTGAAGAAGGTCCACGTTATCCATGCCGTGTTGTGGATCGTCAGGAACCGCGTCTCGGGCCTGAAGTAGAGGGGGATGGGCACGGCCAGGGATACGACGGCGATGAGGGACACAGTCAGGGGGAAGCCGAGCGACTGCGGCCACCTGTCATGGTTTGGCTGCGTGTGAGCACTTGGCCCTCGCCACGGACTGGAGCTCACTCACCAGTTTAGGCTGTACAAGTTAAAGACCTTTGTGATCCATATCAGGGCCGTCAGGTTGTAGAAGCCGTAGTAGACAAAGAGGAAGAACCAAAAGTTGACGCGCACCCGCGCCTCTCCATGGCCAGGCGTCTTGTGTCCCTCGTGCGGCTCTCCATTGGGGTCGCCGACGATCCCATTGCCTTGGTCTTTCAAGGGGTACTGGGGGAACGGCACAGAGCACCAGGCGACGGCCTTTGCGCCCGTGTCAGCGTCGCCTCTTGCCCACATGCGCATCCCGCCGAGCCCGTGTTGACGTACCAGAATCGCAGGCAGAAGCACCAGCAGCCCATACCGACTCCACCACACATCAACCACCTTCCTGACGGCCGAGTGCCGGGGAGCCACCCACAGGTCCAGAGCGTATGCCCGCCACAGCCGCTTCCATGGCGGCGGCCCGTCGTCGTCGGTGTCGTCGTCGTGTTCCTCCTCTTCCTCCTCCTGCTGGGCGGCCTCGAGCTCGGCGGCAACCAGGGCCCCGTACCCGACATGCACGCTGCCCCTCCCGCCGCCGTTGGCCGCGAGCCGGTCGCCGAAACGACCCAGCTGGCCGTAGCGATTCTGTCCTAGCCCCGGGCGCGGAGGTACGGCGCGGAAGCGGCCGAGGAGGGGCGACGAGTCCGAGGGCCGGACGTGGTGCGACTCGGTGCCCTGCGTGAACTGGAAGAAGCTCGACATGACGCTTTGCGCGACGGTGGGCGCGCGTGAAGGCGCCTGCTCCTTGAAGCTGTCTTGGATCGGACCTCAGAGCTGCGAGGATGGAGATGAGGGAGCAGCGCTTTCACGCGGCAGGCTTGCGACAAAGCAAGGCAAGCAATGGCGCTGATGAGTGCGCGTTTTGCGGTGTCGAGCGTCTTCTTGGCGACCTCATGAGAAGAGCAGGGTTCGAGCTCGGCTTGGATACTCGGTCCACGCGTCGTGTTTGCTGCTGCGAAGCTCGACCTGTCCTCGCGCGCCAGGGTCTCGAGTCGAAGCCGGTGTTGTTGTTTTGTTGGCGAGGAGCCCGTCGGGGGATGTTGGGTGAGGTGGTGTCAAAGTACCTCGGCACCTGGACAGTAGCGCTCGGTACCTTGGATGGGGAGCCGACTAGCAGCGGTACCCGGAGTATTAGCAGCTTCAATGCTGTCCATGCCTTATCTTATCGGCCCCTGACGTGCCTGCATTAGCGCTTCAGCTCGTGATGCTTTGGATGATGATTGCCAGCCAAGGCATGCTCGCTTGATATTACACCCGGAGCGAAAAGATACGCAAAGGCCCCAGTCTTGGCGCCTCCCGGCCGGTTCAGCTGGGTTCGTCTAAATCGAGAAATGGCCTCGATGATGTCATGTAAACCGATCCCGCCGCCAGCTTCTTGAGCCATCATCAAGCATCATCGCCAAGTCATCTTCTCGGCTTCGTCTGGGCAATTTCAGCCGCCCTCGCCTTGAGTGCCTATAACTTCCCATCCTCCACCACGTGCTCGCCCCCCGTGACATCATCCGAAAAAGCGACCGTCTTGGCCGCCGAGCTCACCTTGGACATCCTCGGCCGCGGCTCGGGCTCCAGCACGTCTCCGCTCCACGGCCTGCACTCGCGGACATGCTCGCCGCACCGCAGACACGTCCAGCCCTCGCCCTCCTCGCGCTCGAGCCGCGTCGCCAAGCATACGAAGCAGTAGACGCAGGCGCACGGCATCGTCTCGTACGGGTTCGTCACGTCCGTCTGCGCAGACCCCACGACGCCCCCCGACGCCGCCAGCATCTCCGTCTCGGTCGTCGCCGTGGCGTTTTGGTCCTGGTAGCAGATGGCGCACGTCCGCTCAGGGAGGAAGGCGTATTCGCCCCGGGTCGGGTCCGAGTCGCCGTCGCCGTCGGTGCGCATCATGTCCTTGGTCTTGCGCCATGTGCGGCTGAGCCAGCGCCGCCACCGGTTGATGCCGATGAGCGGCAGCACGAAGAGCAGGAACTCGGTCAGCGCGTGCCAGACGAGCTGGCGGTTGAGGTACTCAAACGACACCTCGCGGCTGACGTGGCTCGTCGGCGGCGCGAGGCGCATCCTCAGCACCCGGTCGAGCAGCGTGCGGTATCGCCCGCGCAGAAGGAAGACGAGAAAGGAGACGAGGGCGGCGGCCGAGTGCGCAGTCGACAGCCTCCCGGTCCAGCGCGAGAGGAATCGTATGCGCGGGCTGCTGGGCCGGTCGTGGCCGTCGTCTTGGTCGAGCAGCCAGTCCTCCCACCGCGTCCACGCGTATTTGCCCACGACGGTGACGAGTCCGTAGAGCGACTTTTGCAGCCTGGACGGGGCCACGAGCACGGGGCCGTCCGTTCTGGCGTCGGTGTACCGGAGGTTTTGTAGCGCGGCGCCGTAGGTGGCGTCGTGGTCCCAGACAGTGAGCTTGAAGAGCACGGCGCGCAGGGCCAGCAGCGTCTCGGCCGACCAGTCGTCGTGCAAGTGGCCGCCGCCAAAGTACTTGAGCGCATCGGCAACCTGGCCCCTCAGCAGCTCGACCAGCTCGTCGTCGAGCAGCTCGGCGTCGACCTGCGCCACGCGGAACGCCGGCCGGGTGCCTTGTCTCGAGGACGCCGCCTCCCACACCGGGCCGAGTTGATTGAGGGGAAAGGGCAGGCGTTGCAGCCCGAGGCGGAGCTGGTGGGCGCGCGAGGAGGCGGCGGCGGCGGCGGCGGCCTGGGCTTCGCGAGCTTGGCGGCGCGCGACGACCCGCTGCTGGGCCTGGGCGAAGCTCGAGTCGGTCATGGGTTCGTCATGGACATGGGCGCTGCCGCTGTCGCTGGCATCGAGGCGAGGCACGCGTTGGAAGGAGGTTGCGCGCGAGCCTGACGGTCGAGAGGTGGGTGGGTGGGTGAATGGGTGTTTGGGTGCAGATGAGATGAAAGGAGCGGGTAAGAAGCCAGTTGACTTGGTGACGCTGGTGATGCACGGTGATGCCGAGAAGTGGGTGATGGAGAGAGGGAGGGAGGGAGAGAGAGAGAGAGATAGAAAGTACGTACAGTCCAGTCCACACGGGCCGAGGCTTGTCTGATGATTCCGAGGTTCCGACCACCGGCAATTGCCGTTGTCTCCCGAGCTCAACCGCACCTTTACCCCGTGAGGATCTACCACGTACATTTTTATTTATTTACAAATAATCTGTGTGTAGATGATTTGTTTGAGCTCTCATGTGTTTGTCTTATATCAGAGGGTTGCTCAATTGCCAGTGCCCAGTTCTTCATCGCGAGCGCCAGCCTAGCCGCGACCCTTTGCCCTTGGGTTGCGCCATGACCCAGCCTTAGAGGAAAAGTGTATCCTGTAACTTTCATGACGCCAAAACAGTTCTATGACTCGACTGTCCCGTCTTGCGTTTGTCCATCGGCCCGGCGGCACCTTGACCAGTCCCTCTTGACGGTGCCCGCGAGCCTTTCTGCTTGTCTCACTTTCCCTTCTCGAATCCGACTGGCGTCAACTCGGTCGTTTCGTCTCCCTCGCCACGTCATAACATAGCGTCAGCTGTCCTTGCGATTCATCGATCCCGCCCAAGGCGCTCTTCGTCGTCGCGCACCAGTTCATACGCCGGCCGGAACGTCTTGGCGCCGCCGCCGTCGTCGAGGGCCAGCGCCGGATTCGGACGCGTATTTCTCGTGCCGCCGAGCGATGTGAAGCCGCGATTATACAGGCTGCAGAAGGCTATGTCGAGGTGCCGGATGAACTGGATCGAGGCATGGTGTCAGTGACAGGATTCTTGACTCGGCGCCTCGTGTACCATAGCAGAGTGCATGACAAGGGAGCAGGGTCCGGGTATCTCACGGCCCAAATCTCAGGGTAGTGCCAGTCCAGCACCGGATTCACACGCATAAAACCGGGCCAGTCGTCGTCAGTCGGGCTAAAGGGCATCAGGAATTCGCTGTGCGGGTCAGTCCGCCGCGTGCCCATGAAGATGGCCTTGACAGGCGGTCGGTCGGCGCGATATGCCTCGAGGGCGTCGCGCATGGGCAGGGCGTAGCGTGTCAGGTCGAGGTGGTAGTGGGAGGTCGAGACGGCAACAAAGTCCTCGACCTCGGGGAACGGGTCGGGTGGCGCGATGTAGATGGCTTGCAGCGGCTCAATGTGGCTTTTGGTCGGGGTTTCGGTCGCCGGACCGTCGGCCGAGGCGGACAAGGGCTGTGTCGGGTCGGGCAGACAAGCGAGGATGAGTATCAGCAGGACGAGGCAGTCCTTGCCGCCATTGTAGGAGAGCGACAGCTCATTTCTTCTGTTTCCGGGGTGCGCGCGTCAGTGAGAAGCTCTCGCTTCCGTGGCCATCAAGTGAGGTCGAGCCAAGGGCGGGACGGTGAGAAGAAACAAGGCCGACGCACCCGTATCGCTGCAGGGCCTCGCTAATGACGGCCAGAGACTCGCGCGCCCGCAGCTGCGTGTTCCGGAGCACGGCATCGTCTTCAGAAGGTAGTCTGAGCAGGTCGGATACTTTGCGCCGCAGCACGGAGCATATCTCGGGCCAGGGTCGGGGGCCGTCGTGTCCTGCTGCTCGGGGCTTGGTGGCGCCGTTGGTGGGCGGCTCAGCGGGCTGCGTCATTGTCGGCCGGAGAGGTGTGGGGAGGGGAGGCGAGAGGCAAGGGAAGGGGGGTGTCGAGCGGAGGAATAGCGAGGGGATACGGAGTAGAGAATGAAGAGAAGAAGATGACTCGCGGTGAAGCCGAGGGAACAAAAGACGGACCCCACATCGTTATCGGCGGGTAGCTACTACTTAGGTACAGATAGATGGACGTTGCCTCGGGCCTCCAGAGTCCGCGTCATTGCGTCTACAGTACCTACCTAGGTAGGTAGTCACTCGGTAAGTTACTTAGTGTCTGCATCACCTCGCCAGCAAGCACCAATCGACGCAAGGTCTCGTTCTGCACGGCCCTGCCGGTGCCGGTGCACACGCTCGGTCATCAAGTCTTACCCACCGTTGGCTATGCCGCCGGCCATATTCGGGAACCGGGCCTCGCGGAACCAGGCCCGCCGAGGAGCCGAGCCCGTCTCCACCCACTCCGACGACGTCTCCGCCGCCACGCGCCGGCCCGGCTCCTAGCATCGGCGCACGTCAGCGGCACATCCACCGCTTCTCTCGACAACAAGTTTATTCTAAGTCGCATTCAAGTTGGTGGCCTGGGAGTAATGGACGTGTCGCGCGCTAAAGGCCGACTCGGTAGGACTGGCCTGGGCCATTTGACGGCCCATTAAGACGGCGAGAGTGGTGGCTTTTATGGCTGAAGGCTTGTCGGCGATACCGCGTGGTCTGTTAAAAGGAAATAGAGTGGCACCGGAAGTAAATACTATTAATAGGGGAGGATATAAGGAAGATATTCAAGGATATTGTTATTGTTATTATTATTGTTATTGAGATTACACTAGTAACCTATCTAGAGGTATCTAGAACTTCGGCGTTAAATAGGAGGGAAAAACCAGAGTACCTAGAGGAAAACCCTCCCCTCTTTCGTAGCTGGTCCGCCCTTATGCCGGGTCGCGGTTGCAATACGTAGGAATCTTACGCCGGCTATCTTAGGTATCGTTTTAGTTAGTCGGAATCTTAAGTTAGTATACCTAGCTTCCGGCACCCCCTACTTCCGGCACCCTTCGTAGCACTAAGGCAGGTATATTCTAAACGCAATTAAAGCCGTATTTTAATATCACGATAATTAAATTTAGTGTTTCTAGCTACTCTAGCTGCTAGCTATTATAAAGAGCTTTAAATCCTACGTTCTAATTAGCTATAGCGGCGGTAGCCGGCTTAAGCGTGCGCTCGAGCTATTTCTTTGTCTTTATAACTTATTTAATCTATATAAACCGCCTATTAAGGTCTTAAGGGACCTTTTTCTATTTTTAAGGCTATAGACGATATAATTAATACTTTAGCTACTATATTTAAAGCTAGGAGGCTATAAGCGACTAATTTTACTTATTAAGGCTACGGCTAACCTTACTAAAGAGTAGTCGGATCGTACGGTTAACTTAACCGCGGTTTTCTAGCCCTATAATAAGGCGACGGACTTCTTATAATTATTTAACCGTTTTAAGGGCATTATAAATAGCTAGGGTACTAGAATTCTTTCTTTTTAACGGCGTTAACGGCGTTAATAGCTATAGTAAGATAAACCGGCTTAGTAAGGGCTTTACTATATTAACTAGCTATAGTCCTAACCTATACTACCCGCCCTTAATATTCTTTTTAGTTAAACCGGCCTACTAGGCTTAATAATATACTTAGAGGAAGGTAGCCTTATTAATTAGCGCTATATTATTAAAAGATTAAAAAATTTTTAAGTTAACGTTAGTAGGTAGCCTTAATAGGCGAGAAAACTAAGATATTAAGAGGTTAGAGGACGTAGGAGGAGTATACTAGTAGAAAAAGAAGATAAATACGATTCTTAAAGTATTTATATATAAAATCGTTGGTCTAATAGCTCTTATAGCTATTAATAATAAGGAGAACGTTCCCTTATAAGTAGCGCCTTATTTAAGGGATAAATACTTACTTAAGCTATTAAATAGTAATAGAATCGCTTATCTAGCCCTTTAAGGAAGTAATAAAGTCCTAATCCTTTAGAAAATCGAGTTCTTTAAGGAACTATTACTATTAAAGGTCCTAGCCCTTAAAGATTATAAAGGGGGTTAAGGCCTAGCCTATTATAGAGACGTATTTAATAATTATAGTCTAATACGCGACCTAGTATAAGGGCGGACTAGCTATGAAAGAGGGGAGGGTTTTCCTTTAAGTACTTTAGTTTTTCCCTTCTATTTAACGCCGAAGTTCTAAATACCTCTAGATAAGTTACTAGTATAATCTTAATAATAATAATAATATAGGTACTATCTATAAAATAATATTAATAAGCTATATAGAGCTCTTTTATATATAGCTAGCCTATATATATATATATATATAGGATCTAGCCCTTTATATATAACTATATAGCTTAGGCTATAGCCTAAGCCTATAACCTATAATAGTTAAAGACTTTTATATAATACCCTCCCTTTAATATAGTATAGCGCTGCCTTATTAATAGCTTCTATATAATTAAGCCTTAGGCCCTTTATACTACTAGCTCTACCTTACCCTCTTTTATTAATCGTACTAGCCCTACTATCCTTATTATCCCCGCGCCTATTAATTTAAGCGGCTAGCCCCCGCCTCCGCCTCCGCTACCTCTATAAGTCTATAGTTAAGTAAGCGTAATAAATGTTTTCCTAGTATTAAAAGGTATAAGCAATAAGTATAGGATCGGGTAATTAATAATATAAGCGGAAGGATCGGTCGAAGAAGTATAGGGTAGGATTTCGTCTAGAATTTATAACGAGAATATAAGGGGCTAAATAATATATTAAAAGAATAGCGTTATAAAAGATACTTACGAACTTTCTTATTCTATCTACTACTCCTAGGGAAATCCTTTGTCTTTTATAGACTATTGCTCGCTTACTAATAGACTAATTAGTTAGCTTTCTAGTATATTCTATAGTACTTAAAAAGCTCTATCTATAGTATATCTTTCTAACTTAGTAGGTGGTCTAATTATAACGTAATAGTTAACGTAAGACTATAGGTTCTAGTATAAGTAGTAGATTTAACTAGAATGTTCTATGCCCTACCTATTCTCGTATCGCGGATATCTTTAGAACCGCTCCGCTAAAATAGGTAATAAGGTATCCGTTCTACTTATAGTTAACTTATACATTTTATATATATTTTTATTTATTCGGATAGGCTTATCTTAACCCGCTTTTCCTTAAGGAAGGTATAGATATCTAGTAGAGGTCTTTTATCTTTAAGGGTTATTCCCTTAGACTATATTATAGAGCCTCCTTTTACTAGCTTATTCTATAAAGCCTCCCTATACCTATTTTAACGGTAGCTGCGGTATATACCTAAAGATATACCTACGCTAACGGTAATAGTAGTAGCTAGATACCGAAGGATAAGGGGGTCTAAGGGGAATAAAGGAAACGAGAAAGCACTAGGCAGGGTAAGGTAAAGGCAAAGAGGGCTAAAAAAGTATATTAGTAAAAGAGGATATAAAAGAAGATAATAATAGAAGATAATAAAAGAAGAAGATAATAATGCTAATGCTATCTACTAGCTAAGGAGGAAAAGAGACCTCTTTTATAGACTAAATTTTCCCTCCTTCTTCCCTAGACGAATAAGGGCTAAGGGATTATTTAATTAAGAAGAGGGCTAGCTAGAGACTCTACTAAGGATCCTACTAAGGATCCTACTAAGGACCCTACTAAGGACCCTACTAAAGACTCTACTACGCGGGCTATATATTCCTTAGGGTATAGATGCCCCCGTTAAACTATTATTTCTTTATAATAGTATAATAGGAATATAAGGGTATATTCTTATACCTACTAACTTCTTAAAGTATAAGCGCTAAGTATAGGCTTAAGCCTCTTACGCAGCCCCTTATATATAGTATATATTATAAGAGCTCCCTTACGGTAACTAAGTTAGGCGCTACTATAGCAGTAGCTATTACTAATACGCGCGTGCTAGCTATGCTTATAAGGCGGCGCCTCCTATCCTACTCGCTACGGCGTTAGCTTAAAAGGCTAGCGCGTATAGGTAAGTATAAAGGGCTACTAAGAAGCGCCTTACCGCCGCCGTAGCTGCTTATTATAACCTCTATACTTTAGAGCGCTAAGGGCTTATCCCTAAGTAAGTTCCTCCCCCTTTACTCTCTTACTTTTACTACTAACTCCTTTAGTACTAAAGATACTACTTTTATTACCTTATTAGCGGTCCCTTTAGCTATACCCGCTACTACTACTACTACTACCCCCGCTACTACTACTATTACTACCCCCGCTACTACTACTATTACTACCCCCGCCGCTACCGCTAATATTAGCTACCGCCCCTTTATCCTTAGAGCCGCTACTACTATTAACTAGCTTATAAGTATAGAGGGCTAACTTAGCGCCTTAAAAAGCGCTACCGCTACTATTAAAGAAGAGGAAGCTAATAAGGATAATAATAATAATAATAAAGGTAAGGATAAGGGTAATAATAAGGGTAAGGATAAGGGTAATAATAATAAAGAATAAGCTTAAGTAGTTTAATAGGTAAGATCGCACCCCTATAGATATTAGCCCGTTAAAGGGATAAGACCCTTAGTACTCCCTTTCTAACTTACTTCTAAGTATACTTAAAGGCGTTATAAAGACCTCGATTATCTAATTAAGTATCTTCCTTAATTATAGTTAATTTAAATTTTTATTTTTCCCCTTTAAAGTAAAGACCGCTAGTTATATAACTTTAGTAGAGATAAAGAGGCATAGAGTAAAGAAATCTCTAATACTTATATTTATAACCTAAGGCCCTTAGAGCTATATATAGAACCGATAATTAGATAATTATATAGTTAATTACTTTACTAATCCTTAGCTATATACTACGCGTGCTTTAGGTATATACCCTTATCCCTATTAAAACTAGTCTTTAGGGTATAAACTCGTTATTCCGTTTTATTTATATAGCAATAAGTAGCTTTACGAAGCTAAGAATACCTAGAGGACAACGGTACTATTTAG